GGGCACTGGCGTTGTCCGCGTAGGGCAACCGACCCGTGACCATCTCGAATAGAATGACCCCGAAACTGTACACATTGCTCGGCCCGTTTGACGACTCGTTCGTGTCCCCATGCCAGAAGATGAAATCGGATATCTTGGCTGCATAGTCCTCCGATAGGTGCACGGACGAGGAACTTAGGGTTTTCAAGAAATGCGGTGGTGGGGTCAATTGGTGAAGGTGTTCAACACAATACGCCATGCCCATCATGATTCTCATTCGCGTCGCCCAATCCAAGTGCTCGGCTTCCCTAACTGTGGTTACATATAAGAAGATCAACAACAGCCCAGTATGGTCCCACAAGTTGGGCTTCGGTAAAATATCAAATACGTCTTTTAAATGAGTTTGTGGGCCCTACGGTGCACACTCTCGTTGAACCCAAAGTGATTCCTACCCCCTTAGCTCCCCACTACCCCGTCTGGATGACAATCAAATGTCAAATTGGGTGGGGGCATGGGACGGGCTAACCCAGTGTCATATCATGACACCGAGGATGGATGTCAAAAGAACTCCCGTGGCAAATTATTCCCATGCCAATGGAAATGAAAAGATACAAAGCCAAGAAGTTGTGATATTTCAGTTATGGATATGAAACCGATAATAGTAGCAACAATCCCTAAGAGAAAGGGATTAGAGAATTTTAAAAACATACTGTGCAAATGTTCGAAAAGTGTCCCATTTGGCGCATACTCAAACACCATCATTCTCGTGAATGGTTCTTCTTCCTCGCAATACCCAATGAGATTCACAAAGTTCTTGTGGTTTATTTTTGATAGTGTATCAATCTGAATCCACAAAAAATAAAAAATAAAAATAAGTACCCGTAGGGTAAGTTTATATTGCGAAAAATGCTAGGGAAAAAGGGTACCTTTTGTCTGAATTGGGATTCTTGATCTATTGACCAATCCTTAGCAGATGCCACGGAAAGTGATAAAACAGCTATTTCAACTCCACTAGATAATGTTCCCTTGTACAATGTATGAACCAATGAAGAGCCAATCACGTTGCTAAAATCTTCGCAAGCTGTCTCGAGTTCTAATCTCTTAAGCTTTGGCACACCTGATCAAAACAAGAGAGTGAGACAATAAGGTTCCGTTTGCTTTCAAGATAATTGTTTGTAGAAAAATGTACGGAGTGTAATATAATGTTTCACCCACAAAATATAAGACACTCTTTCCATGAAAATGTTTCATTGTACAAAACTTAGGAATGCCTGAAAACATTTTTCATGGAAAATATTTTTCTACAAACAAACACTTGCTCCGTACCGAAATGAATGCCTATCACCTATTATGTTAATCCTTCAATTTTAAAGAATCTCAAATATTACTATGGAAAAATTTAGATCGTAATATTATACTCCGCCTATGAAGAAGATGCAAATAGAAACATACCCGTAACAAAAGCTTTCTGCAGGGGGCCACTGATTCCAGTCGCCCAAGGTTTTACAACAGCCGTCTTATTGTGTTGATATAAAACTACACAAATTGCAGAAAGCACAAGTAAAACAGAACCCCCAACCGTTGCAGCCACTATCAAGATTTTGTTGTGGTTCTTGCTTTTATTTCCAAGTGATGAATTTATAAAGTTGCTTTGAGGGGAAGGAACGAAAGCTGGTGCAACAGATGGAATAGGTGTGGTCCCAGGTCGGGCAACTTCTGGCACCGCAGAGCGTGATGGTGGTGCAACACCTGGTCCATGGGGACTCGGTGATGGGGACGGGGAAGGAGATGGGGATTGTGCTAGTGTAGTAGCACCTCGTTTGGGTGGATATGGAAAAAACTTAATGTTGTGCAATTCCCTTAGAGCTACTCTGCTGAACTCTGTCATTTTCCTACAAGCATGAGCTTAAAAACTGTTAGATATAAAATCCTTTTCCAGGCCTCCAAACACAAGCTCGAGAATTTGGTCGGGTTTGTTCCTTAACATGATATCAAAACCTTGTTGACCTAGTGGTCACGTGCAAGGCTGAGTGAACTTTTGGTTGAGCTGGTTCCTTAAGAAAAAACAAATATGTGTAGTCTTAGAAAAGTAATATGAAAGCACCATTGTTAGCAGAAGTCATTAAGACTTTTGGGTCTCTGGATAGCTAGCAAATCGATCAAACTTTATATGAATAATATGAATGTTGTAAGTATTAAATATTTCACCTATGGGGATAATAGGAGTACTAATAGGCTTATAACTAACAATTATGACTTTTGTGATACATCGAAATATGGTGAATGAATATCAAAATATGGACATACATCATGTCCGCATTCATTCCATATTTTGATGTATCATAAAAAAGGCATAATGGACATACATCATATTCGCATTCATTTATAATATTTGATGCATCATAAAAATCATAACGATCCGTTAAATGTGAAAGGACAAAGTAACACTTACAAATACACAAAATTTCCTCTTGAATATGAATTTCCCATTCCATGTTTCCTGCTCTTCCAAGCTTCAAATCTATCAGCAATCCCTTTCTTTTTAAGTCTCAACACACCCAAACCTGCATGTATTAACCACTGCTAAGCTAAACTTGAACACATGTTAACACAAACTTGAACATATTATTGAACACACAGAAAATAACTAAAATCAAAATTTAAGCTTAACCACTGTTCAATAAGAGCATACCTTCATTCTTGAGAGGACAGCATGAAGTCAAATTCTGATAAACCAGAATAAAAACCACAAATCTGAAGAACCCATTCATTTCCTCAGCATAGAAAACCAGACCCAGATTTCCTTTTCCACAGATCTATCTATTTCTATAGTACAATACACGTCAACGCGAACGAGTCACCGAGCAGACTCGGTTAGAAAAATAAAAATCAAACTTCTCAATACCAACCGAAGAATACCCAGATTTAAAAATGAGCTCCGGAGTGAAGGAAAAAAGAAAAGTGGATAAAAAAATCAAATCTTTGAGCTATACAGACCTAATTAATAATTATCAAGTAAACCAACGTAACCTCCAAGAAGGGTGGGGTGGGGGGGGTGGGGGTCATGGTGAAACCGCGTAGAGAACACAAAGAGAGAAGAAGGAGAAGAAGAGGAGGCGCGTTGCGCGTAGAAGGCGAAGAGAGTTTTGTGGGGTTTTGACTGTGAAGAGGAAAACAAGCGAAGATATATGGTTTTGGACGGGTTTTCTTGGGCTGGTTCCTTTGCGGTGGCATTTTACCTGGGAAAAGTTGTTGGTTTACCAGGGAGAAGTGGATAAGATTTAAATGAGTTGACTCGGTGGATCCAAAAGAGATACGTAGTACGTGGTTCAAAAATAGTAGAGTCATCATTAAGACAAAAGAAATGCATCATGAGTAAAATGACATTAAAAAAATTACAAGGATCTTAGGGTACACCAAAAAGTGTACCGAAAAAATGCACTGAGGTTTTAACGATTCACACTGCACAAAATATTAGTTAATTAAAAAAAGTTGTACTGACATTTTTTGTCAATGTAAATCATCACACTAGCACAAAATGTCGGTGAAAGTTTTTGGGTACAAAATAGGGCACAAGGTTTGATTTGAAATTAGCTTAATCCAAAAAATAAAACAAGAATTTCATTATTTTATCGTCAAAATATACATTTAGTAATGTAATTACAATACAATAAATTGAATAATAGCATTGTGATGGTAGAGTGTGGTGGTGGATCACCGGTCAACAGTGGTCAACTACGGAGACTAGCAATGAAGTTTCGATGGTAGTGGGGCAGAGTGGCAGCGTTAACTCCTCTTTAAGTCACAAAAATAGTGATACTTTTACTTTGGTATTTTATTATCTGTTGTTTTTTAGGAAGCTTTGAAATAAACTAATCACAAAATAAACAAGTCAGTTATTACTCTTGAGGGGAGAAGATGGTTATTACTATATGCCGGTTATTTTTTTTCTTTTGAATTCCAAAACGACATCGTGTTGTATTAGGCAAAAAAATCAATGATTGCAATTGCAGTCACTTGCACATGAATAATTTCGTCACTATTTATACATTGTTAACATACAAAAGAACAAAGAATAAACATTCTTACTGAAGTTTGAACCTCAAATATCTCATTTGGAAATGGTAAAACCAAGGGTAACAATTGACCATGGGTCCGGGGGTAGCCCCTCGATTTTTTTGAAAATTATTATAAAATGACAAATAATTTTAATTTTCATCCCAAAATTATGAATTATTACACATAATTTATAATTAAGTAAATAGTTTTAAATTTAAAAAATATAGAAAAATAGAATACTAAAACTGATTTTCAAATTTAAAATGATTTGATTTTTTTTATGGAAATTGAGAAAAGCTAACCGAGACATCCCATTTTCAATTAAAAACATTTGGGACAGTGAGTAAAAACTTTTACAAACCATTAATGTGGCTTCACACTGGTGCCCATAGCGGCACCAATGGGCTCTAAGGTTTGGAGACATCGGAATGGATGACATGTTTGAAACAACCTAGCGTTAGCATTTTGAAAATGCTATCTATGAACAATATTTAGTATTTACGTTTCCAAAGTTAATCTACAGTGTTAAAATTTTATTTAAAATGATAATGCGAATAAATTTTTTTATTCCAAAACGGGTCCAGAGTTAATAGGCTCTAGCAACTTGTGGACAGATAGAGTGCTCACCTAGATCACTCGTAACGAAGGCGCTAACTTATACTCGTACTGTTTATACATAGATAAAAAGTAGGACGTGATGAATACATTAATAGTGAAAAAGTGTAATATGATAGTTAAATTAAATACCAATAAGGTAAAAGAGACCATTTAATAAAAATGAGAAAGATATTTTGGGACGAATAAAAAAAAAGGAGAAAAGTTTTTGTAGGACTGATAATTAAACATTTGGTTTTTTTATCATAAAAAAAGTAGTGATACAAGAAACCATTTACTGTATTAAAAAAATCAAGTACAAACAAAATAGAACACGGATTAGGATACTAATATTAGAAAATGATGGAAAATAACGGTTAAATAAATATCTCAAAAAAGGAACCCTAGCCGGGAAAGCTCCCAAATTCCCAACCAGATCTGAGTTTCGGAGTGCCCCGTCGGTGGAATGTGAAGCTTTCCTCCTCTCGCATCGTCCGCCGCGTCTTCAACCGGCGCCGGATTCACCTCTTCCGGATTCTTCCAAACTGAGCGGCGCCCTTACGACGTCCGCCGCTCATTTCGCCGTTGCCTGGAAAAAACTCCAGTCAGAACGTTGCTCCTTGCTCCGTCGTGTCCCGGCCGTGTCCCGGGCCTTTGTCCTTGTACCCGGTCAGCCAGACTCCACAGTGGCCACCGCGTGAATTTTCCGCAGGTTGACGTGTTCCTAACGCTTCATTGATTAGATACTCCCATTCAGTACAAATCATGTTTTTTTAGTTTTAGTTTCGGAGGTACATTGATAGTATATAATGTGTTGATACTGAATTTTCTCGATGCCGGAATGAATTATTCATCCATTAGGAGTGTATGAGAATTAATGATTACAATTTCCTATAATGCAATGAGTTTGATTATCCATTTAGCTGGTATAATAACATTTTGATAACTTCTATGTCGTTTAATAGTAGCTTTGATGATTTTTGCAGGCCTCTTTCATCACCACAAATTCAAATGTATATTGTGAAGAGATTTGATCATACATGTGAAACACAGGGAGCAGCCCTCTCCGACAAAGCATCAATTTGCATATTTTGAATATTATTCTGCAAATATGGTGCTCAGCGGAATTTCAAAATCTTTTACTGCATTAGTGGCTAGTTTCTCGACCCAAAAGACCCCTACTTCCCCCTATGTATCACCTGGTATTCCACCATTGTCGGGATCAGTTCCCAGTGCAGGGCGGAAGAACAAGTTGCGACCCACCTCCTCCCTTCAAGATTTTTCTGCATATCAGCAGAACAATGCAGAATATGACCATCTGAATCCCGAAACGGAAAGACTATCAAATAAATCAAAGCAAGCAACCTTCTTTGTCAGAGAAAATGCCGGATCAAGTTTTTCAAAGGAGAAGGGATCTCCAAGAAACCATTCTAAACGGAAGAAGTTGCTGATATCTTGTATGATTTTCTGTTTTCTGGTGGTTGCTTCTGTTTTGTGTGTTTCAATATCTTATTACTTCAAGTTGTCAGAAGGTGGATCGAGGTTCTATGTTGTTCTTGATTGCGGCAGCACTGGGACCCGTATTTATGTATACCAAGCGTCCTTTGACCACAATAACGATAAAGGTCTACCTATTTTATTGAAATCAATGCCGGAAGGTTTCCAGATAAAGTCAAAATCCCTCAGTGGAAGGGCTTATAACCGAATGGAAACGGAACCGGGCCTTGACAAGTTGGTCCACAACATATCTGGCTTGAATAGGGCAATTAAGCCACTAATTCAGTGGGCAGAGAATCAAATCCCTAAGAATGCTCATAAAACTACTTCCTTATTTCTTTATGCCACGGCTGGGGTCCGTAGGCTACCTGATTCAGATTCTAAATGGATTCTTGACAACTCTTGGTCCCTTTTAAGAAGCTCACCATTCTTGTGCAAGAGAGAGTGGGTGAAAATCATCAGCGGGGAAGATGAAGCTTATTTTGGATGGATAGCTTTGAATTATAATGCCGGTGTATTAGGGACAACTAAACCCAAAAAGGAAACATTTGGTGCACTTGACCTGGGGGGCTCATCACTTCAGGTTACTTTTGAGAGTAATGAGGAGAGTTCCAACAATTATGCATCAACTAGGTTAAATCTGAGAATTGGCCATCTCAACTATCAACTCACTGCATATTCCTTGCCGGGATATGGCCTTAATGATGCTTTTGACAAGTCTGTGGCTTATCTTCTCAGGAAGAAGTATCCTAAGGTTAACAATGCAGATTTGGTTAGTGGAAATGTTGAGGTCAAACATCCTTGTTTGCAGTCTGGTTACAAGGAGAAATATGTTTGTTACAGCTGTGTTTCTACATCTCCCGAAAGTGAGAATTCTCCTAGTGGTGCAAGAAAAGAGTTTACTAAAGGTATTTTAGGATCTTGGAAATTTATAGGGAAATGAAAGAAACTGCCTAGGAAAGTAATTTTTTTATACTTGATTTTACCTTAGGAAATTACATAGGTAAATGACACACAAATGTTCATTTTTTTAAAAAAAATTTATGCTTCTCTAAGTTTCTTAAGCTTATTTGTAATTATATAAATAAACATACGGGAGAAGGTTAACATCTAGCGAGTATAAATTTATTGAGTTAAAATCTATATTTAAATTTCCCCCCAATTGTATTTCCATCTAATTTCTCTCTCTATTTCCTCCCTATTTTCTTTCCGCCAGGAGGAAAGCACGGAGTCTCCATTCAGCTCATTGGAGCTCCAAAATGGGATGAGTGCAGCTCGATTGCAAATATTGTTGTCAATTCATCTGAGGGGTCTTTTGAAGGGAGGCGTCCACATCCAAGTGGACAGTTTTATGCGATGTCTGGTTTTTTTGTGGTGTACCGTTTTTTCAATTTGACTTCGGATGCAACCTTAGATGTTGTTTTACAGAAGGGGAAAAAATTTTGCAAGAAAAATTGGGCTAGCGCAAAGAAAAGTGTTGCACCCCAACCTTTTATAGAACAGTATTGTTTCAGGGCACCGTATATTGCATTTCTATTGCGAGAAGGGTTGAATGTTAGAGATGGTAATATAATTATCGATTCTGGAAGAACCACATGGGCACTTGGAGTTGCATTATTTGAAGCTGGAAAGGAAGTCTCGAATAAGATCGATTCTCAGAGATATGAGTTATTCCGGGCAAAGATTAAAACGATTCTTCCATTGGTTGGTTTGGTTGCTTCTTTGTTTGTTATTTTTTGTGCGTTGTTATGTATTGGAAACTTGATTCCCAAGTTCTTCGGGAAGCCCTATCTTCCCCTTTTCAGGCATAATAATGCCTCAACTGCATCTATTATGCCTAATCCCTTCAGGTTCCAGCGTTGGAGTCCTATCAATACAGGTAATTGCTTACTTACCGCCCTCTGATCAGTGTCCTTATCAATTGATATTTATGAATATACTATGCTTTATGGTTATGTCATCCTATATAACAGTGGAGTACACCATGCACTAAACTTTAGTTAAATTCCCAGTAAAAAATCCAGCTGATGAGGTTGATAAGTCAGTTTTTTTACTACACAAAAAAAGTCCTGTTTGATGAAGTTACAACTCTTAAATTGATAAGTAAAAAGTTAAAGAAACACAGGGGGGTAGTTAAAGGTTTCAACATTGGAAATATGGGTACCTTTTGTCATGAGCTTCAGGACTTGTTTTTGTGACTAATTTTTACGTCATTTAAACCAAAGTCGTGGTGTAATCTTGTAGGGTCATTGATTGGTATAGCTGAACGGAAACCCAGTTACATATTGTAACAAATATAGCAGGTCCAACAAGTCATAGTTACATATTCTGCCTCTTTCATTGCTGCATTTTTTAATCTTCACCAATAAAGTTTCACCAATTTAAAAAATCCACACCTCTAACCCCACAACCACAACCACCAACCTCTTCTACCTTCATAGATAGAGAAAAGAATCTGTAGAACGTGGTTCTTCCTGCCACTATGTTTTTAATTAAAGACACGCCAACCTGTTCCTCCTTTTTCCTGTCAGACTTGAGGCAAACATGCTTCAAATGTGAAGATGCAATAGTGAGTTTATAGTGCTTCTACAACAAACCCTGTAAAACCCCACACAAACTCAGGATCCGGGGAGGGGGTGAGTGTACGCAAACCTTACCACTACTTGGAAATAGATAGGCTGTTTCCAAAAGACCACCAATGGGTTCAGAGTGTTTCTTTGGATTGTTTTTGGGAATGAAATTTCTGTGAATTGTTTAGAAGCATATTTGCATGTTCCTTTACTCATTTTGCTTTTCATATAACTCATTGCTCCCTAAACCATCCTCCTTGGCACAAAATCACAAACCATTGCTTGTGTTTCAGGGGATGAGAGAGAGAAATTACCACTGAGTCCAACAATAGCGTCTACTCAGCGAAGTGGATATGGTTTTGGGGGCAAAGGGGTGCAGCTGGGCGAAGGCCTTTCTTCAGTGTACCCATCATCTAGCGGCGTATCACATAGTATTTCATCTGGTTGTTTGGTTGGACAAATGCAGTTTGGTAGTAGTGACACTATGGGTTCTTTCCGGCCCCCACACAGAAGCCAACAACGACTTCAAAGCAGGAGATCCCAATCCCGAGAAGACCTCCACTCTTCACTGGCTGATTCTAACTTGGCAAAGGTTTAAATCCTCGGCACTCTCTTTCTCTCTCTCTCTCTCTAACAGTCATCCCAACGATAACCTCGTTGTGAAAATGCCACGTGGCAGTAGACGCTGATTCCACCTGGGCCTACAAAATTGAAGACTCTTCCCCTCTTTGCTCTCTAAAGTTCATAAAGCACCAACCGGAGGAAAAGAATGGTAATGTGAAGGATTTGGAGTTTGTGAATAGTCTTCTGAATTTACTTTGATTTTTGATACTTAGGTTAGTCCTTTCACAAAATTTGGGTCAAGAACACTTGCGATCGGCTCGGATATCCCTAATGTTAAGGGTAGCCAACATCAAATCTTGAGTTATAATAAGGTATATATTGCTCTTACCTCAGGGTAGCTTTAGTTTTTTTTCTTTTTTCCTTTTTTGGTAGTTTTTTGGATTCTTGTTGCACTTTAATTAAATTGGTACATGATGAAATAGACTTTTTGAATAGAACAACATTGGTAAATAAAAATATACTCCGTATGATACTAAATTGGGAAAGTTACAATGTTTTAGTATTGAAATAAGTCATTAGATTAAATAATATGAATTGCATATGAGAATCTTTTGAATAAAAAATTAATTAAATCAATTTTGACTTTATCAAAGTCAAACATCCAAAAATATGACGTCAGAAGAAGTATTTCATATAAAACTGAAAAAGATATATATTTGCGTAGATTTTAAATGTCTAATCGCAACGGTGCAATCAGATTTTAATTTGAAGAAAGTTAGACAAAAAATGTATCCTTGTTAGGATCATTTTAGTCGCAATTAGTGAAAGGCGTAGAAAGTCACCCCATATCGCTCTTGGTCGATCGCTTCGCTTCATCCCATCTCTTTTCACTTCATTCTTCTTCCTTTGTATTCCTTAGAGTATGGAGATTGTTGTAGTGCTCCCCGAAAAGTTTGAGATCGATGAAGTTGGCTGTAGTCTTTGCCGGAAGTTTCACCGGGAAATTTCAAAATTCTTCATTTAATCTCAAGGTGAGACCCTAGATAAATCTAATGATTAGATTAAGCATATAGATCGATTCTACGTTCTTAAATCTTCATTTGGTTGACTTATGTGCCATAAATGTAGAAAATATATTTTTGATGAATCAAAAATCACAAACCTTTAAATTGCAGTTAAAGCTTTGATAATTATGAAAAAACGGTCTATGGATGTTAGAGAACATTTTGATAAAGTTAAAATGATGTTTAGAAGCTTAAAATAGTGTTTTGGAAATTTAGACCGATGTTGAAGCGACACTTTACAAAAACTCCTGCAGAAACGATACTTTGATACCACCTAGAAAGTACAGAGTTACCACCTGTATGGTAGGCCCTGCCGCCAGGAGGGTAGCTGGCTACCGCCACAGGCCCTGGTGGTACCTGACACCAGACGAGCTACCGTCTGGACGGTACTAAGTACCGTGGCCGGTACCCTCGTACTGACACATGTAAAGTCTGATCTAAATGTTTTTCCCACAAACCTGTATTTTTATCAAGGATGCATTTTGATACTTTGTATGTTGTGTAACGATAAGCTAAAGTGTCAACACTCGATGCTAGACCGTTATTTGCTATTATGGTATTGCATATTTAGGATTATTGAACATTGTAATGATAATGATGAAAATACTATTATGAATTGATGTTGATGATGATATTGAGTAAACAAATGCTATATAGAAGAACTCTAAAGTAGACCCATATGACCAATCTAGTTACGCCTTGCGGATATGATGTCCGGTTATCATTTGGGAGTCATGGTTGCCTTAAGCTAATTACAATTTTAAAGGCTAGTTATTCATTTTGCATTAAACTAATTACAGTTTAAGAGTCTAGTTATTCATTTTTCCTTAGACTAGATTAGTCTAAGAACATGGTTAATCATTTTACCTTAGAATATGAATTGTCTAAGAGTTATTATTAATTTGGTCTTAAACTAGAAATAATTTTAGTCTTATTATTAATTTGGTCATAAACTAGAAATAATTTTAGAGTCTTATTATTAATTTGGTCTTAAACTAGAGTATTGGGGATAATATCATAAGTGGTATTTAATGAATATTGAATATTAAAATGTCTTAACCTATGACGAATTAAGAATCTTTGAAAATGTTGATTATGATATCAAATAAATGGATAAAACAATTGTGTTTATATGTTAATAACTTGATGAAATGATAATGAAAAGTTAAGCAAATAATAACTGGGTGAGGATGAATGATTCCAATTGCATCTTGCTTGCATGGTACTATTCGATTTGGTTGTGAATTGAGATTCTATTGCGTGTATGTTCGACGCATTAGATATCTTCCTTAGCTTAACTGCTGAGCGTGCAATATGTTTTATTTGCTACATGCAAGTATGATTTATGTTAAAGATGGAATGTTTTTCGAGAAGCAGCAATATAGATGAGATGTACGTATATGTGCTCAAAGTAATGATCAGTTAAGAAGAATTTTGAACGAATTGATTTTTGTTTACATAAGCTTCTGTACTCTTATGAAATCTCCGATAATGTTTGATAATGTTTTGAAAATATTTTTGATGATGTTATTTGTAATATAGATCTTTTTTAAATTGTTGTTTCTAAAATACTGTGTGTGGGTATTGATGTAGTAACAAACCGACCCGCTAATCCATTATATTCGGGTTATGCGAGTTTGGGTGTTACAAGAACGGAGTCTTACACAAATTATTTGCTGGGCAACAAAATATCTTGGAAGAGTAAGACTCACCAATTCAGTGTTATATGGTATCATGGCTTTTTGGTGTATTAGTGGGGGTTATAAGGAGAAAATTAGAGAGGATAGAAACCATTACTTTTATGAAAGAAGTACCGTAGATGCCTCAAATAAAGTGATGTAAGAAAATGATAGCGGACTTACTCTACAACTATTCTTAGACCACCGGAAATGGTGCTAACGGCCACAAGCGTTAAGGGTGTTCTAATGCACGGAGGGCGTTAAACATCGTCCTCCTTTACCGTCATCCGGATGTTACAAAGTCTGCGTTAAAGGTTTGACGCAATGTCTCTCGCCTTTTCTCGCTCCACCAAAGGCCATAATTTAGACCGTTGGGCATTAATTTAAAAAAAATTAGAGTAATTCCATAAAAGGTCTCCAGTTATAGGTCGTTTTACATATTTAGTCCATACATATCAAATATTACTAATTTAGTTCTCTATTATTATATCATTTTTCACGAATGGTCCTTTGTTAAAGTTTTTGTTAAGAACATGGATAAAATTATATATTCATACTTCTTGCTGAGTTTGAAGTTTTAAACCCAAAACTAAAATGGTCACTCCTCTCTCAATTATTGGTGAAACCTAAAATCAAAACCAATAAGCTTTATGGATGAGTGTAATCGGTTAGTTTCAAGAAATTGCAAAGAAAATAAACATTAAAATTTGATTTCCACCAGTTCGACAAATAATTAAGAGAAGAGTGATGATTTCAATTTTGGGTTCAAAGCTTCAAACTCAGCGACAAGTTTGGGAAAGATGTGCGAGGGGAGGGAGGAAGCCAAATTGAGGAGAGAAATGAGTTTGAATTTACAATTTTATCCACGTTCTTAACAAAAATGTTAACAAAAGACTATTCATGGAAATGAATCTAATAATTGGAGACTAAATTAGTAATATTTGATACTTCGTATGTAAGAACTAAATATGTAAAATGACCTATTACTGGGGACCTTTTATGAATTTACTCAAAAAATTATTTTCAATACTATAAATACACCTTATTTTTAACACAACAAACACATTCTCATCATCTCCATAATTCCTCTAAAATATATTATATCTTTTTTAATTATCTTTACAAAGTATTCAAAAAATGATATCATCATTCAACGATGAAAAAAGAGCTTCATTTTTTGTTATCAATAGTGGCAACAAGGCCAACGAAAAATATTTTTAGTCGCTTGAATAATTATTAATGTCTTCAAGTCTAATTATATTAATGTAATTTTTTTATTTATGTTGTTATTATTCAAATCGTATTATATTAATGTAATTTTTTATTGAATGTAATTTTTTTTTATTTTTTGAATTATTGTATATAAAAAATTGAGGTTTGAAGCTTGGAGCTTCAAATTTCAAACCTATTTCCACAAGTGAAGGACTAGATTTGAAGGGGGGATTCTCTTTCACTACCATTTCTTAGAGTTTCAGGTTGGTTTCCCTGTTGCCCTTCTCCCCTTCTTCAATTTTTTGTTTCCGTTCTTGCCCAGCCATCCCCATCCTCCGGCGAGGATCCTTCTCTCCTCCGGCGATTCTTCTCTCCTCCATCAACTCCCTTCTCTCTTCCGGCGGATTCCAGGTATGTTTTTTTGCTGTTTTTTTATATTTATCGAAATATTATGTTTTTTTGCTATAATTTGTTGTTTTTTTCTTCTTTTTTTTTCTGTTTTTTTGCTTTATTTTGCTATTTATTGAAATATCATGTTTTTCTCTATTTTTTAAATGTTTTTTCGCTGTTTTTTAAACTGTTTGGACACGTTTTATGTTTTTTTACTGTTTTTTTGCAGTTGAAGATGGCTGTTTATTGCTGTTTTTTTTAATTCTGTTTTACATCCTTTTTTTGCAATTTCTTGGAGCTATTGGTGGTATTAATAAAATTTGATGTTTATTGAATTTAGGAATTTATAATATGTGTTGTTTGAATTTGTAGAGGGTCCGTTTGGTATACAGAATTAGGGGTGGGCACGGATCGGGATGGTCTGGTTTTAGATTGTCCCACGTCTTGTCCCATTATATATAAACGGTCCGGGACGGTTCGATTTACAATCTCATCCTGGTTTATCCCATAAAATTCGGGAACGGAATAAAACGGGGCGGATTCGGGTCGTCCTACTTTGTCCTAATCGCAAATATAAGAAGGGGAAGAGGGTGAAATTTCATTCAATAAAAAGAAACATCTAGCCATCCAACAAAAAACAATGAGTGGAACGGGTCCAAATAAATTTCAAGCTCATAAAGTTAATTTAATTAAATAACTAATTAATTAAAGAATGAGTGTATTTGGATTTTGGACTAGAATTAGTATTATATATTAGTAGAGTAGATGAAACGTGAAAAACGGGACGGATCGGTATAAATTTAAGCTGTCCCGCTCATGTCCCATTTGATATTGGGACGAAACGGGTTCGGGACCAAAAAAAATGTGTCCCAATATATCGGTACAATTACAAAACGGATACGGGATTTTTTAGAACGGTCCAACGAGAACGAATTTCACGCCCACCCCTATACAGAATTGATGGAATTAGAATTGAATTGGAATTGAAATTCCATGTGATTCAATTTCATAGAATTGAATTCACCAATTTCAATTCATTTTTTGCACTGTCAATTTCAAATCCACATAATTTTTGTGCTACCAAACACCAGAATTGGAATTGAAGTCCTCAATTTTAATTTCATAGTTTGAATTCCGTGTACCAAACGAGGTCAGATAGTAATTGACTTCTAAATTTTGATTATTCTATTTATATAAAATGACATGTTACTTACTACTTTCTTCTTGAGTATTTATTCACTTTTGAATTTTATATTTAAAATTTAAAACTTTTTCTATAAATTAAATAAAAAGAATGTTTGAAATTGATGTAAAAATAATTTATTAGATTTATCTTATATAAAGTTAGCAAAATATAATTTCATGTAATTAGAATACTATATAATTTTATGTCAAAGGTCAATTATGATTTGACGGATGTCACTTTGTTATGATTTATATTGAGATGAATATCACAAACTAATACGGAGTAAAGTACATAACATGCACAAGGGTTTTTAAGTAATTTTATTATTTTACCCACCTTACGTTACCTAATAAATATCCTAACGCAATTTTTCAACCTATTACGGTTGCGTTCTGTTCATAAGATCTGATTTGATTTTTTAAAGATCTGATCTGGTCTGACCTGGTTTGATTGCAGTTATAAATAAAGTGTTTTCTGATATGATGTGGTTTTGTCAGATCTCTGATCTGATTATAATAAGAATAAGTAATAAATTGAACTAAATTCTGCCCAAATTTAGCTCCATCAATCCCATCCAAACATAGCCTTAGCCATGCCGCAACCAGTCTCTAGCAGGCTACAGAAACGGCGGCGGCGGCGGCGAATCAGTCTCTAGCAGCAACTGCAGCAGAGGAGGCGGCTCAGTCTCCTGTAGCAACGACGGCAGCTCAGTCTGAAGCGGCGGCGTCTCTCCGTCTACAATAGCAGTAGTGTCTCTGTCTCCAGTGGCCTAGTCAAATTTTGATACGGAGTATTTTGATTTTTCTAGAAACAATTATGACCCTAATTTGAGTTCTTTTTTTTCACCAAACCATTTTGTTTCAGATTTCAAAATTGGATTCCTAGGGAGGGAATTTGGGAATGTTGGGACTAAGCAAAATTCAGACTCCAATTTACCATTTCAGAAACAGCTCAGCTTCTGGTAAAAGCGCCATCTTTGGAGGAGGTGCTTTCATCTCCAAGAACCAACATTCCCACAAGCATCTGTTGTCTTCTTCTAGGATGTTCTCCAAAGAATTTCAATCCCGCGCCACCGTTTTGCCCTGCAAAGCTTCTTTAAGAGCTCAAGAAAAGTCTGACAGGTAACCTGGCTATTTCCAGTTTCATTTGGTGTCTGTTTAAAAAAAGAAAAACTAATCTTGCTCCTTTTTCTTTTTTCGGTTTCCCTTTTGAAACTTAGAATTTCTTTACCTTTTGATGTCTCAAGATGGATTAATGAGGACATTAGACGCGATGACTTAATGAATTAATCAACAAAGGCTTCCTAGCTTGGCTTGTATTGCTGACAATCTTTATGTTGTTCACCATTTGGTAATCATGTTTCTAAAAAGCATGCTCTGGGAGGGAGGGTGTTTGTACGCAAACCTTACCCCTAATTACTAACAATGTTCTAAAAATTCTACTAATCTCGTCTCATCTAGGCTTTGGGTAATCCCGTTTAGGTGACAAACTGTTGATAGTAATTATTCTAGTTTCATTTTTAGGGCATCGTTAAATGACTAACCTTCTGTGTTAAAATTTTGCTCCTTCAAGACCGATGTGTATCTTTTTTTTAGGCAGAACAATGTGTATCTTGAACTATTAAATTATAACTTTTGATGCATGAATTTCTTTACAATGAGAGGCTTTTATGGTTTTATTAAATGTTTCTTATAATTTTATCATTAATGCAGGACCAATGGCAGTTCGCCGGTTAATGGACTATCTGAAATTGTTGTTGGTGTTTTAGGAGGAGGACAACTTGGTCGTATGTTGTGCCAAGCAGCTTCACAGATGGCTATCAAAGTTATTATCTTGGACCCAATGGAAAATTGTCCTGCAAGTTCATTGGCTCATCATCATGTAGTGGGAAGCTACAATGATAGCGCCACTGTTGAAGAATTTGGGAAAAGGTTTGGTTCACATGGTTTAACTTACTCTTTGCATGTTTAACTTACTCTTTCTTACTTAAAAAAACTCACTCTTTCTTACTTAATGAGTTCATATTTCAACTAAGGTGTGATGTGTTAACTATCGAGATTGAGCATGTTGATGCTGACACAATTGAGAAACTGGAGCAACAAGGTGTGGATTGTGAACCTAAAGCTTCTACAATCCGAATAATTCAGGTTTTCTTTTTTCTAGACAAAGGATGTTCGTAATTATGGATCATGTATAACTCTTTCAATTATTTTGTTTGTGTGATTTATTAAAATTTCTGACATTTTGTCATTGCCTAGCATCTCTAGCCATTCCACAACTTCTCCTTAGGAGGGTTTTAGATATAATTATAGACATGAACTATGATAAGAATGACCCCATTTTTGTATCTATATCCATATGCTTGCTCAAATATATAAATGCACTTACTTTTGGGTTTAGCACTTGTATGGGGTTAGTGGCTTCGTTCTGACTCGTACTCCATTGCACTTCATCATAACAGGACAAATATCTTCAGAAGGTCCACTTTTCAAGGCATGCAATTCCACTTTCTAACTTTATGCAGGTTAGTATGAATCATATTTTGATAGATGGGTAATATTCAACAAACTTCCTATGTTTTTTAGTGATGAATGCATTGAAATTGAAAGAAGTAAAGAATGAATAAATTATTCATTTTTGTCTTTGGTGAAACAGATAGATTCTTTTGAAAGTGCTAAAAGAGCGGGTGACGTCTTTGGGTATCCACTTATGGTGAAGAGCAGGAGGCTGGCTTATGATGGGCGTGGCAATGCTGTAACTAAAAGTGAAGAGGATCTTTCTGCTGCAGTTAATGGTAATGTACTTTCAATTTCAGATATAAATGAGACAAAATGAACAAAAAGATCTTGAGTTTGCATGTAAGTGACCTTTGTCATCATTGTATAAAAGTTATTAAAACACGCAATACTATAATCAGAGACAAATAAGAAAAGGAAAATAAAGTGTGCTCTATTATAGTGTAGGTAGGTGCTCGGTAAAATCTTGTAGAGATGGGAATATAAGATTTTTTTTCCGGCTCTCCCTCACACATGATAGTATATTACATTTGAGCAAATAAAAGATATACAAAACAAATATCTATGATGGAAGTTTGTTCATGACAATTAGAAATCCCAAATCTAAAATGCTTTCATTGTTGGTCTTCATTTATTTTTTCAATATGCTTATGTCTTATGATAATATGGGCACACGTTAGGCGTGCATTCATGGGAGGGGCACTCTTTATGCTCAATTCTCTAATGTTAAATATAATAAAAGCATAAAAAAGATTCCAATTTGCAGCTCTTGGAGGATATGGTCATGGTTTATATGTTGAAAAGTGGGCGCCATTTGTGAAGGTTAGTATATAATTATGCCATCAATCTACTCTACTAAACTTTATATTGAACTTAACGTCAAGAATCAACAATTCCACTTGAATATCATACAATGAAAGATTAGCCCATCAAATTACATTCGTCTAGGGTCCTAAAAATAGGGAACTAATTATCCCATCAAGTCAAATTTGCCTAGGGTCCTTTAAGTAGGAAACTAGTTACATTATTCAAGAAACCAATCCCTCTATTTTGGGAACTTGGTTTATAGTGTATACTGAGGGGAAAAAAAAGAAAAGCAAAGAATAAAGCAATCCCACCAATACTCAAATTTTAGCTAAGGAATCTTTCACTGATAAATATTTTAGCAATAACTATTCTTGCATGGAAGGCCAATAAATAAGGAGGACTACCTTACTAATTAGGAGTAAAGATTTGCATTGGCAGAATATTTTAGTTGTTTTCTGTTGGCGATTTAGCTATTTTAGTAGGCTAGAACTTGACTTATTTAGATACAAGTCAATTTTGTGAAGGAATAATGCATGTAAAAATTTACCGAACAAACATGGATTTTTGGGCTCTCAAGTAAACTTAAACCCTTGGGGGTTCTAGATCTTAATAAAACCCCAATCCGACCTTGAATTAATTCACCTCCGTTTAGTTTTTGTTAAACAGCCTTTGACGCTTCTTGGGTCATAACATATACTTAGTCCCTGTGTTTTAATCAAAATTTTGAGGTTTAATAAAATTGGTGTCGGTAAATGCGGAAGCAATGAATAAAATGCAGAATTAAAAGCGTAAAGTAAATTACACCAATTATATATATGGTTCGATAACTCCCTACTCAAGGCTCGTCCTTAATGATTTTCGAATCCATTAAGTCTCGGTCTCGAACTCCGTCAAAGCACCTTACTAGATTTGGCAAACAACCCTTGCCAATAGGATTCACCCCGAGACTTCACAATGGCTATCTCGAACCGCTTACGATGAAGATTTGAAGGCTATCTTCAACCTTTTTCCCCAAGGATTTCAAGGCTATATTTGAACCTTTACACAAGGATTTCTACCACTATCCTCGACAGTTCGCCCAAGGATTCCTCGGCTATCTTTAACAATTATAACTTGATCAAATGTGTATGAAGAACACAGAAAATAAGTTCTACACCTTTGCCTATGATAAAGTGATAACAATCAATCTAGGCCGGTGAAGAAAAGAGATTAAACTCTCTAAAACAATACAAGATCAACCTATGAATGTGAGAGTGTATACGTATAATCACAACCTTAGTGTGTGTTTAGAAATCAAAACAAAATCAAGGTTCTAACTATCCAAAATATGAAGATTTAGGAACAAGAACATGAATACACTTAAAATATCAAATATGAAATTTGGGAGCTTGGGTTGATTATTAAAATAAAGGATTATAACCCTATTTATAGTTGAATATCAAAAGTCAATACTAGTGACCGTTCAAAGCTGATTTGAGGTAATTTAGTTGATTAAAATGGAAATCAGCAAATTTGAAAAACAGACTGTTGGGACTTGGGACGGTATTGAATTACCGTTAGCCGATAGTGCATTACTCCTTGGCAGTAGTGCATTTACCGTTACAAGCCAATTCAGGCCGGTAGGTTTATGAAGCCAAGCTTAACACGGTAACGGTAGGTACCAACACGGTAGTGTATTACCGTTAGCCAGTAGTGCATACCGTTACAGGCTCATTCTGCAACCTTTCAAAACGTGTTTAAAGTTTGGCCAAATCCTTTTTTGTTTGTGTTTAAAACCTTTTAGACATTTAATGATGTTTATAAGACAGTTTTAAACATTTTTGTGAGTGCATATGAGCTTGTGAATATAGGCATATTAAATCACAGTCTTATATTTAATTCTACCTATATTCTACGTACATAAGTACATAGATTTTTGTTGAGAACCAATTCATAATAGATTCTTGTTTATATATTCTTGTTCATGTATCCCATTAGACGGGAGGTGTTAGCACATTTAGCTCATATATTGTTTCAAGGCTAACACCTCTATCCCATAAAAAGGTTCCACTTTCATTCTAACAAAATGTGGCCCTCTGCATAAAACACAATAAATGTGCCCGGTCAAGTGAGTATATTGTTCATGATGGATGCTATCCAAAGTTTTTTTTATTAATTTCTATTTGTACTTCAAAGGGTGAGTAATCTATCAATTCTATCTTATTTCAGGAGCTCTCTGTCATTGTTGCAAGAGGAAGGGATGGGTCTATCATTTCTTATCCTGTTGTTGAAACCATCCACAGGCAATACACTCTTGACCTACTAAATGTTGTGCATGGTTTTCTCATAGATAATCACAAACTTATGCCGTGATTAACATTTCTGTATCCTTGTTCCTTATGAATTTGTTGTTCGCAGGGAAAACATTTGTCACATTGTAAAGTCACCTGCTAATGTGTCATGGAAGGTTATGAACCTTGCAACTGATGTTGCATGCAAAGCTGTAAATTCATTAGATGGCGCTGGTGTTTTTGCTGTTGAGCTGTTTTTGACAGAGGATGATCAGGTTGCCTAAGTTGGCCAATTTTATTTATTGTTATTTTTTTTAATTTTACTTTAAAGGGATTTTTGTTTATGACTTTTCATAACCTGTTTCAATCTCAAACCATGACAACTGTCTCTATTATTGCATTATTCGTTTTGCCCAGATTTTACTTAACGAAGTGGCTCCAAGACCACATAATAGTGGACACCATACTATTGAGGCTTGCTTTACTTCACAATACGAGCAGCATTTACGAGCTGTGGTGGGGCTCCCACTTGGTGATCCATCAATGAAAACACCCGCTGCTATCATGTACAATATATTAGGTGAAGATGAGGTTAGTTGCAATTTTTATGCCTTTTATGCATTAAATGCTGGGAAAAAGTAAGGTCTTATTTGGTACCCAATTCCATCTTATTCTTGCTTTTTTCGTTCTCTTTTGGCTGAAGTGGATGTTAGCAAATGCTTTTCCTTTTGGAAAATTCAGCAAACTCAGCAATTTCATCCAAATAGCTCTTACTAAGTGGATCCTGATGGGATTTCTATTCACTGGCTTACAATACCAATCGTTCCATCAATATTTTGATGTACATTTAGTGCATAGATCAATGGAGCACGACAAGTGTTTTGAAGGCTGAATTTATACTCTGCCCCTCCTCCCCTGTCCCGTAAAAAACTTCTTTGTTTGACTTTCACGGAGTTTAAGAAAAGTGTTGAAAAGTGAAAGCTTTATGGTTAGAATTTGTTTGGAGGAGAGAGAAGAGTTGTGAGCCACTCATTCCTTTCTTTAAAAAGAAAGTGAAGTTTTTTTGGGAGGGGCGGGAAAAGGAAAGTGAAGTTTCTTTGTAGTGTAAAATAAATTTAAGTGAAAAAAGTCAGTTACTACATTATTTGCATGTCCTGCTCTTTCTTTTGAATATATTTTGTAATCAAAGCATTAAAAATGTAATGCAAACTTGTGGTTATCTTTTTGTTATTGATAGTTCAGAAAGAACAAGTTTGTGTTTCTAAAGTTTTGATTTTTCAATGTAGGGAGAACCAGGTTTTGCCCTAGCACATCAGCTCATTGGAAGGGCACTAGAAATTCCAGGAGCTTCTATCCATTGGTATGACAAACCAGGTTAGTTGAATAACGACAGTCCTTGATTAATTTACTATTTTGAAAATTTATGCAAGATAAATCTGATAAAACCATTTTTGTACTAATATGCAATATAAATTTTATTTAATTGATGATCAAAGTGAATCTATTTTGACTCAAAAAAGTCACTAGACAAATAGTTTGGGACGGAGATAATATTATTCATACATACTTTTGAAAAATCAAAAGAGATCTGATTTTTTTTGGAATGGCTGTAGAAATAAGAAAACAAAGAAAGATGGGTCACATTACCTTTGTGGGGCCCTCAATGGGAATCGTGGAAGCAAGGCTACAATCTGCTCTAGTAGAAAATGCTGGGGATGGCCCGCCGCCTTGTGGTCAGTTATTCTCGTTGCCTCTCACCTTCTGCTTTCTCCCATCCTCAAAAATGGTCCCCCCTTGTTCGTCTAACCTCTAGCAGTTTTTAAAATTTTTTATATTTGATGATGATTATATTTATTTATTAATTTACTTCTTCATGCAGTTGTGCCACGTGTCGGGATCATAATGGGTTCTGATTCCGATCTTCCAGTTATGAAAGATGCTGCAAAGATACTCAAAGAGTTTGATGTGCCTGCCGAGGTGATCTTCATAAACCATCACATTGTTTTTATTTCATTTTTCTGGAGTTTGGGATTAGTTTTGCTTTTGGAGAAGTGTTAATCTTAGACGCATAATCCAACTATTACTTCTCTGTCGAAAAGGTTGAAAAATCAGATAACAAAATCACTTCCAAACACTCTCTATATACTCCTTGTCATTGTTATGCCGTTAATGACTTATTTAAAAATGAATTGAAGGTAAGAATAGTGTCGGCACATAGGACACCCGAAATGATGTATTCTTATGCTACATCTGCAATTGAACGTGGCATTCATGTAATAATCGCTGGCGCTGGGGGTGCGGCCCACTTGCCCGGTCAGTAATGCTTTAACAAAACTGATTTCGTTGATAGTCGGAGGGCCTTTTTTTAATTTATGGAGGCACATTTTGGATTGATCAGGTATGGTTGCTGCATTGACTCCATTACCAGTCATTGGAGTTCCAGTTCGAGCTTCTGCTTTAGATGGAATGGACTCTCTATTATCCATAGTTCAGGTATCAACTTTTAAGCTCATTAAGTCCAAGTTTTATATTCTAAGATGTAATGTAGCTCTTACAAGATAATTGCAAGTTTTTTTGGGACCGATGATGCCAAGGATGACACCGCCACTGACAATGGCTGTCTGTGTGCTAGTGGTGTCAACCTTGGTGTTATCCCCGTGTGCTAGTGGCGTCAACTTTGTGTATACGCTTATGCAGATGCCAAGAGGTGTCCCGGTTGCAACCGTTGCAATAAACAATGCGACAAATGCCGGTCTGCTAGCAGTGAGGTTATTAGGGATTAGTGACATCAAACTTCAAGCAAGGTATTATCAAACTGAAATTTATGTAAAATGATTTGTTTTTTCATGGAGTCAGGCCCGGAAAATTATGTCTTAATTTTAACTGGATTCTGGGATCTAGATAATGTTATAATATACTCCCTTCATCCCGAAAAGATTATGGAACATCTGAATAAAGGTATGAAGTTCTTTGTGGAACAGAGGAAATATTAACTAAAAACTCTGGAGTTCTATGACCGGAGTCTGGGGAACCGGAATTGAAAGTTACCCCCCCCCCCCTCGTTTTTTAATCTCGTGTGAAGTACTAGTATGTATCTATTGCGAATTGCAAGGACTTACTCGAGCGTTCTGAACGATGTAGAATGGCTCAATATTTAGAAGACCGACGGGATGAGGTCTTGGTTAAAGCAGAGAGGCTAGAAAAAGATGGCTGGGAAGACTACTTGAATTGTTAACATTTTTTTTACTGTGGAAGCTTTTACAGAATTACAGGGCAGGCCAAACCTTTTTTACTGCATCTCCTTCATGGAGTTACCATTTTGTAGTTTTAGACTGTACGGCTTATAACTTGCAACTCAACTGTACTTTGAGGTATCTTTTCCTAGTTTGTTTGATTTTTTTTTGGGTAATTAGCATTTTAAAATTTTTATTAGCCATTTTTTTTCAAGTACATAGGAAAGCATTAGCTAGAGTTTCTGCCAAACACTACCTCTGTTAATGTTTTGCAGGAAAGTTAAGGGTAATTTGGGGTAAAGGACACCAAATAGTCATTAATGTTATCTGAATGTTAGTATCTATTTTGGACTTCTTGTACTTTAATAAAAACTGTAATGTGTATTGATTTTTCACCAATGAAATATAAACTCCATGGCATATCAATACAAACATATACATTAAGTGTTTTAAATTTTATGCGAGATAAATATAACAAGATTATTTTTATATCAACATGCAATTGTAATTTTTATTGATAACATTTAAAATTTATCAAATTTGGTGTCGCAACTTGTAATGGACGCCTCTCTTGCGTTGTTGATCCTTCTAGGCCCTTGTTGTCCATAAATGTATCACATTTTTATGTGACTTTATTAAAAAAAAGATGAAACTCATCCCGAGGGACCTCTCAGATTTGACCTGATGGAGTGACAGTCACTGAAAGGAAGTAAATTAGATTTTATCGCAGATTGGTGGCAAGTAGAGTCTGCGCCTGACACTTGCAAGGACTACGCTTAGCATAATTGTCTCACAGCGTAATTGTCAAAAATCGAACTTGAGTCTATCCCTTAGCACTTTCAACATTTGCTTACTGTGCCACCTCACAAGCTTTCTACATTTGATTTCACTATAGTTGCTAATACTTGGTATTGTAGTAAGATCATCCCTAGTAGTTGAGAAAGAGGAAGGAAACTCTTAGGTGACATGTGTAAAGTGAATGGAAGGATTAAAGTGGGGAGGAGAAATAAGGAGAGGGGAAGTAGGGAAATTAGGTTGCCCGAAAAAGAGAGTAAAAATGAAAAGAAAAAAATAAGAAAAACATATATATATAGGAATAAATAGAACTAAATAGGAATACAATATTACTTGGAGTGATTCCTCTAAGTACAAGATATCAATCAAGAAATCACCTAAATAGAACTAAATAGGAATACAATATTAGAAAAAATACCAAAATAAAAATTCTATATTTTTATTTCCAAATAGAAGTTTACACTGTGACAATATGATACTGTACATATACATTTCACAATACTTTTTAATAATTTATATGGTCATGATTGACACTATATATGCATTTTAATTCTTATTTCAGAAATAAAAATATATAACTTCTATTTTGATATATTTTTTATACTTTTACACTTACTTTAGTCTTTTTCTTATAGCAAAGACAACCATTTTATAAAAATCTCAAATTAGAGTTATACAAAAAGAAAGAGATGACATAGCACGGAGCAATTGCAAATATAATTTTGGGACGGAGAGAGTACTTAAGAATACAGCTAAAAAACAATTATAGTGGCAACAACAAGAACAACAAAACTCCATAATATCCATTACCAATTTTAGAGCTTAAAAATCTGATAATATTCCCAACAAAACCAGGTTAGTTAGTTCTTTCAACAAAAACAGGTTAGTTGTTTCTGTTCCCATCCTCAAGTTTCACTTTCATTTTTTTTATAAATCCCACCAGAAGATCGGATGGTTAGGTTCAGCTACCAGGCAGCAACTGAAAGTATGCAAAAAAAAAGAAGCCAAAACTTCACCATAAACTTGCGATTCTGTCCAAAGACTTCAAAAACCGTCGATTTATTTTGCAATGATTTGGGCATGAGTGCAATTTCTTGACACCGAAATATACACTCGAGAGCCCAAATCATGACAAATTTGGTAATTTTTAAAGCTTAGGACGGGATCGCAAATTCGAGGAAAAGTTTTGGGTTTTTTGTCATTAGGCCAACACAGAGAGCAATCAAAATAGATGGCGTGGGTAATTAACTTACACAAACGTTTCAGAAAAAAACCTATAGTTCAACCTTCGGGGATGGCGTGGGAGCGGTCCTTGGTGAGAAAAGCCACGCAAACGCTCTTGACCACACGCTTGGCGTCACAACATCACTAGGGATCACATAACAAAGGGTATTGTAGTCAAGCTTCATGTGAGGAGCGGCTATTCGGTTCTGTGGCAAAACAAGAGCAAGATTTATCATATGATGAAGTCTTTATAGATGCTGAATAAAATTTCAAGAACTTTACCTTAAATACTTCAAAAGGGCAAAAAGCAGATCCATTGCAACCCTGCACCGAAAAACCAGTTTTAAATTCTAAGGGTATGTTCGGAATGCAAAAATTGGTTGGCAAGGAGAATTAAATGCTACAGAAACGTCTTCAAAGTCTCTGTTGTACCTCGGAGAATACGAAAGAAATCAACTTTTTAATTTTCTTTTGCATAAATTCAGATATGTTAGTTTTTTAATACTTCGTATAACAGAAATATAATCTTCATGAATTCATCATAACACCAGCTTAATCCCAACTACTTGGATAAGGTGCCATCAAACTTATAGTGCCAATAAAATGAGATGAACCTAGGGGAGGAATGTTGTGCTTTTGGTTTGGAAATATTAAGAGGGAAGAGGATGAAAGTGGAGGAGCTATGGAGTATAGATTCCTTCAAGCTCCTTATCTCTTACTCCCCCGACTTGGGGTTTTGGAGAAGTTATATTTCTCTTAATTTCATTTGCACAATCTTTATCAAAATTGTTCTATGTTATTATTGTTATGCAAATAGATTACTATATCTGTAATCACAACAACAGAGATATTATCACTCATTGAGCCAAAAAAATTATACATTTCAAAACTCTTCTATTTTCTCCCCCTCCGAGATTCTCTTCCCTATTTCTCATTCCTTCCTCTTTGGAAATTGGAACAAGTCAAGGGATTAAAGGACGTAGTCATGGCTACCGAAATGAAAATCTGGAAAAAAAATACTCTTAAAAAGCATAGTGAAAACATTAGTGAAATTCTTCATGGGATGGAGTGAGTATTATATTGATTTAGTTGATGAGATTTATCAATGACACAACTCCAAACCCAAGATAGTTCAATGAACACTTAGGCTATTGTTGGGAAACAGAAAATGGTAGGGAAATGAAAATTGCAAAATGTTTTTAAATTTTTACTTTTGCCTTGGCAAATATGCAATTATATCCAATTTATGTTAGAATAAATTCAAAAGTTTTAAAAGTTTACATGTACTTTGATTTCTTTGTCTTTATATTAATTGTGTAATGTACATCACAATAGCAAATATCACAACTCAATTAACTCATCATTGTATGGTGATATTTTGTGTGCATGTAGAAATAGTTGATGGGATTGATGGTAGTTTTAGAACTTTATCTAATTATAACTATTTATGAAGGTTGGAATGGATCTACCATAAAACATTCCCCCTATTCTTTTTGCATGAATTTTTAAACTTTAAACTATTTTATCAATTAATTGGCACCAAAAATTAATACCACCCACCCCAAGTAGTTAGGATTAATATGTTGATAATGATGACAATGAAGTGACTATTAACTATACACTATAAAAAATGCATGAAATGTGTGAACAAACATAAAAAATCAATTTATTGACTTCACCCAATATATTTTCATTCAACTTTTACTTCCATCCAAATTTCCCATCTATTTTCTCCCTATATTCTTCACCTAGCATTTTCCAAGTTCCAAACAGACCCTTAGGCATTGATCATAATTCATAAAGAACCTTACCGGCATTGGAATTGGATGCTCATTGTGCAACACATGTACATAGTACTTGCTTGATTCCTGTGCAGAACAACTGTAGAGTACTAGCATGTTGTTTCCGGCAAAAGGTGCGACTACACTGCCCCGCCAATTTCTCTTTTGAGGAGGCTTGGGAGGGAGTTGTAATACTTCTTCTTTCTGAATCCTATCAAATTCTGGAACATTTGGTACCAGAAATTATGATTCAGAAAAACAAAGTGAGCAGAAGTCAAGATTGCATATAGAGAGTAAGATTACTCACCAGATTCTTTAAGAAATAGTCCGATCAAACATGAAAAGGGAAGCAAGGTTTCTGCATGAGCAAAACGTAGCCTTGCAGTTTCATAACTTCCTTGGGGATGTCCTTCTAATGAAAAATCAAGAACAAGAAGATTTGAAAAACACAAGAGAGTTAGAGTGGAAGCTTTTTTTCAATTAAGAATAAGACTTGATACCATCTTTTCAGTTCAACTAAACCATAACACAATCTAGCTGGGAATGTAGCATGTTTCCTTTTAAAAATATCAAGTTTGTAACATGCTTAGAAAACATACCATTAAGATAAAATATCCTTAGTAGTAGACTAGTAGTTGTTTTTCTTATGCAATACCATTACTGCTACAGTGCCTAAATGGAGTTATTTTCAAATCAATTTATATCAATACTGTGGTAAAATTAAAAAAATAAAATCTATATACGAAGTATTTAATAAGTACATCAAAAGTTATACAAAACAAGTGACAGTTTGATTATGTTATTTTAACAAATGATCAGTGAAAATATATGATGAAAGATAAAATTTGACCCTATAAATAGTAAACACAAAGAGCATTTTAGGATGGAGAGATTATTATTATTATTATTATTGTTGTTGTTGTTGTTGTTGTTGTTGTTGTTACTTGTATTATTATTATACAGTTCACAAAGCTTATCACAGAGTATTAGTCAAGCTCTAGGTTTAAAAGTACAAAAGTATGTGCAATTACAGCTAATGCCCCTCTATGGTTGCCACTTGACTCATAGACAATCAGACTTCTCTTTTTAAAGACAAAAAATTAACATCAGCACATATTCATTTTACAATATCAATTTTCCATGGCATGTGGCCACAAAAATCAAAGCGAAGGTACCTATTACAATGGAAGAAATCGGAACTAACGGACAAGGTATCTAACTTAATGTAGAAGTTCGTTGCCTTGAGGGTAAGATATCAAGTTACTTAATGGTATCGGAAAATAATACTTGTCGAGGTTCAGTAGTCAGGTGAGGTTGTCTCTTTGGATTCTTTATTCGACCAGTTACTTAGTCTCTTTATATCAAGAAGAATGATTAACTGAATAAGAATTCACAGCAAGGCATTGCATATTGACTATCCAAAAAAACATTGATGAGCTTAACACATCTATCTATCTAATGATGAAAGTCCTATGGGTAAATGAAGGAAGAAAACTGTTATCCATGGAAATTAATTGGGAGGAAATAGAATCTACAGTTTGGGATCACATTTGACCAACAAATAAGTACTCCGTACTTAATTGTGATTATTTTGTTCTTGGAGAAGGGAAACTATTCTCAGGGGGGAGGTAGGAATCTGATTCCACTCTTGAGTGGAGACTGATTCCATGGAAACAGCATGGTCCAAATTTTCTGATTTTTCTTTATTTTTTTCCAAGAAGGGGAGGGTTTCAGGCACGAGTAAACCAACAAGGAAGAAGGACAGTACATCGCCAAAGAGCTATTACAAAGTACCTCAGACGGACTGAATAAACTGCAAGCTTGACCAGTTATGTTCAATAATGATGCTTCCTGCCAAAAAAATTGAATAATACTTCAGAATAAGAGAAAGCACTGCCTTCGATTATTCACTATTTCACTTGATAACATATTTAACACCAATGATAGATCACTGACCTGCTTACAGAGAAACCATAAAGAAGATATATCTTGCCTAGTGAAGTTAAGCCCATACTTCTTTATAAAATCCTTAGTAATTTCATTCAAGACGGGCTCCTTGAGCTTGTCAAGAGTAGGTTGTTGGCTCTTTCTGAATTCCTGGATAAAAGGAACTTGAAGACTTTATTAAGAATAAGTAGAAAATTAAAATCAAAACAGCAGTGTCCAGCTTGGTGACCATTCACCTAGGGAGTGACAGGAAAATAGCTACAGAGTATTTTTTATTTGAGTATGTGACCACTCAGAACACTAGATATCAAATGTGATTTATGTAAAATATCTAAACTGAATGCTAAATCTAATCTTCAGATGAAAGACCTCGACCTAGGTATCATCATAGTCATAATACATCTCACTCACTACATGCCAATCAGGGTAATTCTCAAAATACAATTTACAGATTTACCTTATAGCTTTGACAACAATCATGAAATCTCAGAATTATGTCACTTGCACGGCTTTCACTGCTAACTGCAAATGCTCGATTCTTGCCTGGCCCAAGCTTCCCTCTTGCACTAAAAAGGCCCATGCCAAAGGCCACAGCACTAGCTGATGCCCGAGGGACCTAAAAAAACTTCCTTTCATTAATGCAAGTATAAGATCGCTTGAAGAAAAGAGTATGTAACCAGAAACATTAGACCGTATTTTGAAGGGGAAATAACTGCAAGTATGTTTTAAGGAAACATCTTCTACATACATGTTCATGATAAACAATGATTCAATGAGAGAATTGTATAGTACTCCGTAGTAAACCAGTAAACATATTGATAGCCCTATCCACTCAGGTCAGCCAAAGAATAAAGCATGGAAGGGTCAGGGCAGAAAAACCAGTGATCATTTAAAATATAATGAAGTAGTAATAATGCATGAGTTAAAGCCTTCCAGACTTCAAGCCTATTGTTATGAACCCAAAAATACCAAGTGATTAAACGGTCAAACCACCAACCTGAGATGCCTTAATTGTATAAACATCTGGATGATATTCCTCCTTAAAGAGATCTGGAAAATATCCTCTGATTCTTATCCCAAGATTATATAGCTCATCTTCCCCTTCAGCAATAAGTTCTCCACCTGTGCGTTTCCCCTTCCACGGAGACTTCCATACACGCATCCATGCAGGAACTTTCTCCAACGATTTCCTTTTCTCTTTTGCATCTTTCACAAGGACTTCTAGGTGGCTGGATAAGGCATCTAACTCCATTATCTTTTTCTTCGTTGGAGCACGAGTGCCATGCCTAGCCTATCAACATAGTTATGCTGTTTATTAAACACAAATCTCACTGAACCTTAAAATAAGATATAGTATAATCACTTTAAAAATTATCTCTTAGATAAGTTGTCCTTCCCCTCATAGAAATTAGAAACACTTTTTTTCTCACATGAATATATGAGATAGATATGTGGAATGAGCTGAATCTTACCATGCATATTTTAACTTTTGACAACAAATGCCATCACATCACCACCACTACAACCCCTAATCCTAATTAGTTGGGGTTGAATTGTCTAAAATTAATCTCAGCTAGTAGGTGTCTTAATTATTATCATGGCAAGTAATTGTTTAACATTAGCCAAAATTATATATATGTGGGGAAAAACATGATGATTTTTTTTAACAATGGACGCCCTTAACCCGCAACCTTCTTACAAAGCAATGATGATATAGAATTTCAAAACCGCCAAAGCAATGATGATATAGAATTTCAGAACCGCCACCATCATAGGTTACATTAACTTGCATGTAAAGTATCATGAAATGACAATGAATTGAAATCCCATTACAAGATTTAGATTGCAACATCAAAATGCCAATCTTGAAATTCATTAAGCTTTATCTCTCAAGTATCAACTGTATTAGAAGGTTTTCCAGTTGAATAAGTCAGTTTACAGAATAAATAGTGTGTACAGTTTTTACATATGTTAAAAAAACCGCACCACAGAAATCGAAAAGCTGACACCATTTTCCACTAGAATCATTCAGATGCATACAATATAACTGCATCTTGAACTAAGAGCACTATACGGAAAATGACAAACGATAGTATATGGTCATCAAATGAATCCTTCTAGACAAGTTCAATCTAAATATACATAAAGTAAACTCATAAATCAAATTCTAAGGCCACAAAAACTATTAATCCCTTCTAAAATAACATTATATTTTGCATGCATGGACAAAATCAGATTGCAGTTCAAAATTACCACGAGATTTAAGTGAATTGGGGTACATTGATCGGGGATCTCTGAAGCCACAGCCAATTCGCCTGATAGTATATCCTTCACAGCACCATATCTGCACCAATCCGAAAAGTGAAAAAAAAATGAATCTAAGCACGAATTGATGATTTATCCAAAAATCAAAATCCATCCAACCAAAAAACAAAATCTAGACACAGTATGCCGTCAGACAAGAGCAAATTTACAAAAACAAAACACGCACAGAGAATAACTGAGCAGAAAACATACAGAAAACTCATATGAAATGCATTCAAATGTAATAAATCGCGTGTTAAAACTTAAAAATGGAACAGAAACGTGCCTAGATACAGTGGAGAGCTGTTTCCGAACATCAAATGCATCTTCTCCGATCGCATAAAGGCTAAATTCGGCGAAAAGTATTGCAAGTAAAACTGCAATTGTATCGGATTTCTTCATTTCTTCTCTCCTGAGAACCAAATCAACGCCGGCTTTCAAGTTTCAAAGATGACATTGAAAGAATCAAGAAATGCTCCGGTTGCTCTGGAAGGGGAGCAAGTGAATGCGACGTCGTTTTCTGCAGCTCCCAAACGCGCGCGAATTGCGGTCTTCTTGGGCCTATAGCTGTTGAATGGCCCAATGGCAACGTGTCAAAGCAGCCCAAAACCCAACTTTAATGAGTTTAATCTTTCATCCGTCCCAAAAATTACTTTTGTGAATTACTCCCGAACATGTTTTTGTCTTATTTAGAAAATGAAGAAATGAGAGCTCAAGAATAGAAAAATTTTAAAATTTACTTCCTTCGTCCCAAATTATTTGCCACATTTGTTTTTTCAACAATCGCGGTACTTTTGTTTATTTCTACGTTTTCATTGATTATTTGATAAAATAAAATATTCTTGACACCTCTTATTTCGAAGAACTTTTCATATAGTTTTTGATATGAAATTTTTATTTTTTATTTTTTTACCAATATGTAAATAAAATGAATTGAAAAAACTTGATATTTTGCCTCGGTAATAGAAATGTGACAAATAATTTGGGACGGAGGGAGTATTTTGGAACAAAGAGTGTACATTAAAGGACCTAATCATTACTTTACCTACAAGTTACTTCCCTCACTCTTTATTAATTGGGTGTTTCATTTTTTCGTGTTATTCTTTTTTTACTAATAAATTCTTTTAAATGTACTCCAGCATTAACAAAAATTATAGATATAATACTCCATAATGATCCCATAAAAAAATAATAAATATATTTTTAAAACAAATATTGCCAAATAATATTTATTTATTCATCCATCATACTCCATCCATCTCAAAAAATAATTCTTATTTTAATCTTTGGCAAATTTAAGGAAAATGTATTAAAAAATCTACCGAGTTAAAAGTAAAAAACATTGAAAAAATATCACAATAGGACTTTCGTAATTTTAAACACAAAGTTTTGGAAGTTGGAAGTATGTTCACAAGAGGATGACTAAAAAACAAACTTTAGAGCTAAACATATTTGAGATGAATTTAACAACACTCAAATTATAAATATAACACTCCATAATAATCCCTCAAAAAAGATATAACAAAAAAAATTCCAATACACATATTGCCAAATGATTTTTATTCTTTCATCATGTATACTCTCTCAGTTTCGAAAAATAATTCTCATTTTAGTTTTTGGCAAATTTAAGGAAAGTGTATAAAAAACCTATCTATTAGAACTTAGGAGTAAAACATTGAGAAAACACCAAAATAATAATTTCATATTTTAAACTCCAAAGTTTTGGAAGTGTGTTCACAAATCACAAGAGGGCTAATATTAATTCTATGGCTACAAAAACACACTTTTGAGCTAAACCAGAAGTAAAAGGGAAATTATTCAAAGCAAGTCTTGGGTTCCTGTCAACTTGGCGAACTCGGATTCATCAATGGCGCCCTTTTTCAGCTTTCTTAGCAGGCGGTATTCGTTGGCCATCTCCTCGTCGTCTTCAACCGACTGAGTAGCACGTCTCTTCTTTGCAGTCTGCTTCTTCATATCGGCGGCTTTTGATGAACTCGAGTTTTTCGCCTTTGGCTTCTTCACTTCTTGTTGCTTTGCGGCCTTTTTCGCATCCAGGTTCTTTTTCCTCTGCTTCTCGCGAGCTTTGTTCCTACAAAAACAATAAATTGAGTATATGAGTTTCAGAATATGAAATGAATTTTTTTTTGAGAGATCTGAAATGATACTTGTTGGTGGCAGGCAAGGGGTAGCCGGTGATGGTGGTGAGTAGCTGGCGGTGGTGGCTGGTGGACTTGGTGGTTGAGGGAGATATCAAAATCTCCAAATTGATATCTACTCGTTTTGGGAGATATCAAAACACCCAATTTGGGAGTTAGGAGGGTTGTGAAAATCCAAACCATTTAGACATCAACAAACGGTTCTTATATCGGGTGGGAGCGTTTGCATCTCAAAAAAGGGGGAAAGAACCACAATATTCACTTCTAAAAACAGAAATATGTAATAACTCTAAAGAAAGTTATATAAAGAACAATCTTGAGCTTTAACATATCTTTTATTTTCCCATAATTTTAATCCCATTCCAAAAATCCTCTCAAACTTCCTCCCTCATTTTCAACCCAACATTTTCTATATTCCAAACGAGCCCTTAAAGCATGAACTTTAGTACCCATAGCACCCAAAAAAAAGGCTGTATACCTTATTCCACACATGAACCTCATCAATATTAATCTATTGCACACCACACTTTTTTAAGTTTTCCACTGGCATGCATGAAATTTATTTTGAAGAAGTACTATGCCTAAACAGTCCTTAATTACCCATTCTTGGAATATCAGATCAGAAGTTACTCTATTGAGAATTAAGAAAGTGAAGAAGGTAAAAAGTGGGGGAAAAATAATTTATATGACGCTCTCTTGTATTTATAAAAAGACATATTTTGATCTAACAAATCATATTGATATTTAGAAACGGTAGATTAATGTGCGAGCACAACTAAATACAAGATGCCTTACTTGTACTTTATCTCCTCAAGGTTTATATCGAGGACTGGAACGAAACCCTCAGTTGAAAGAGAGTGATGCTTCACCTCTTTCACAGAAGGAAGCTGCAACAGGCCATATCCCATCGCCAACTTTCCAATCTCAAGCTCTTTCCATCTACAGAAAGCATTGTATTGAGCATTTGAGCAAGAGGCATTATATGAAAATTTATGAGGATTATTTTTTATAAATTTGCATTACCGGAAGATATACGAGCAGTGGTGCTCTTTATAAGCACGGATATAAGACACGAATGCTTTGGTTCCCTTTTCCATAACATCACGGTCTTTTCTTGCTGCTAACCGTATCTGGAGAGGGACAATTTTAAAAAATAAACCACTTGCTTCATTAAGTTGCATATACATACTCCTCCGTCTCCAGAATGGCTTGACACTTCGACTTCACGGAGTTTAAGAAAAATGTTGAAAAGTGAATGGTGATTGATGAAAAATGTGTGGTTGAAATTTATATGAAAGAGAGAGATAGAGTTGTCCGCATATTTATTTCCTAAAAGGGAAAGTGGAGAGATTTGAAGTTGATTTTTAGACATCCGAAAATGGATAATGTAAAGTTGATCTGGAGATGGATGGAGTATGAGCTAATGAGAAAAAATGATGAAATGTTCTTCTTTGTGACCAAATATAATACCCTTCCGCCCTAGCGCGAAAAAAACTTTGTTTCATTTTTTTCATCAAATGAAGCTAATTTTCCAACCAACTTCCCAATACTTTGCCAAAAAAGATCCAAACTTATACATGATACATTTAGATAATCCTGCAAATAAATCTTATAAATATAAATATATTTTTGAAGGGTTATAAATTTAAATATGATTTATGACATTTTACACTTGTACCTCCAAAAATTACAAGTTATACGTTGAGCAAACAAAACTGATTTTTGAAGACGGAGGGAGAATTTTAATTCAGAAAAAGATTTATTATCCATCTATGCTATAATACACAGATAGATAAGAGAGCACTAATCATAATTTCCATTACAAAACTATTTATACTACAAGCTCTCTGTCTCTTCACTTAAATTCAAATTAAAACAAACCATTCAAACTCTAGGAAATCTGTTAATCATTCTTTTTTTAGAATAATTTTTAGTGCATAAAAGAAAAAAACCAAAAACAGCATGCAATAAAGGAATAGTCTGGTGCTATAAGATTAATGCTCACCTCAGGAAGAACATCGGGAGCATCGGTTGAACATTCTCTTGCATCAAGTGGAACTCTTCTTATCCGTAGGAACTCAACATATGCTTCCTCCTACAAAAAACACAAGCCAGATGCTTAATCAATAGAGAACATATGAACATAAATTGGCAAAAAGATAAAGGTATAAGCTAAAATGGTTCAAACACTGCGAACATGAACCCCTATCAATTATGTGAAACCTTTGGTTGATTTAGGGAAGAAAAAGAGAGAGAAATGGGTGAGAAATAAATGGAGATGAGAAAATTCTTGTAGATTCTATGTCTTGTTTGGTAGGAGATAAACTCAGAAGAAATCGTTAAAAATTGGGGAAGCTTTTTTCTCGCATTTCAATTCTCACCAATCAAGATGAGTTCTCAATTTCTCTGCCCTTTCTTTCTTTCCAGTTTCACTCTAATCAAACAAAGTGTAAGACATGAATATAAAACTTTCTGATCTTTTGACGGATGAAAGATAAGACTAACTTTGAGTTAAATAATAATGATTTTATGATAACAACAACAGACCCAGTGTAATCCTAAGAGTGGGTCTGGGAAGGAACAATGCACTCAGACCTTACATCCACCGGTGAGAAGCGGAGAGGTTGTTTCCGATATACCCTTGGCTCAAAGAGTAAGTTTGAGTTAAATTGAGTGTGTAAAATAGAAACAAAAACATACCTTTGGTGAAAGCAATATGATACCATGACCTTGCCTCCCTAACCTAGCTGTTCTGCCTGCTCTGTGAACAAACATATTTGGATCCTGAGGTGGGTCATACTGCAGATAGAGAATTGAAAGGTTGTAGTTTCACTGGGATGAACTTGCATTTAAAAAGTGATGCTAATAACATTGAGATACAATGAACTATGTATATAAAATGACTTCCATGAAACCAAACAAACAACCCCATTAAGTTCCACTCAAAAGATGGGCACGGGAAGGTGAGATATACACCGACACCAAGGAATATAGAGGTAAAATTTATGACTTTCTTATATTTGATTATTTTCAAAACCATTGTTTATCAAAAGACTTTAAAAAAACAGAAATAATTAAAGACTTTGAGGACTGGTGATAGAGTGCCACATATGCTGTTATTTTATGTTATTAATATTTATAATAGATTCAGGTCAGATGTTTTATTTTATGTTAGTTACTAAGTAGTAAATAATGTGTAAGTGGACCTAAATTCTAGGAGTAATTGCTATGTGGTAGTGTGCCTAAAGTCTAGGAATAGTTACTAGGGAATGTGGTAGTGGGCCTAAATTCTAGGGATTAGTAGTTATCTGGCTTCCATAAACATTGAGGCTCATTATTTCTACAAGTTATTCAGAAAGTAATTTAATATTTATTATTAGAGATTCTCCTTGGCTTTATTATGTATATGAGTTTAAGATTCTTGCTCATATTCTAATAAAGATTTCCCTTCATCTTAAGTATTTTATGAATTTAGATTCTGATTTCATAATTTGAAAAAGACTTGCCTTCATTAATTCTCCCTGCCAGTTTTGAGTTCTATCAACTGGCATTTGTTATTTTAGAACAATTAATAGTATGTCGCGGTGGGACATCAAACACTACAAGTCTACAGCAGATTAAAAAAACTCGATAGCAACATGAAAAAAAAGATACTAGTTAGTATTATGCTTGCTCAAAAGTAATCCTTAACAAAGAAGAAACAAAACTCACTTGTATGATACAATCAACACCTGGTATATCAAGGCCACGTGCTGCAACATCAGTGCACACGAGAACACCACTGGAAAGAGATGTAATTGATGAGATTGCTTTTTCCCTAAGAGACTACAGTAAAAAAGCAGAACAGGAAGCATATATAAATTTGTGGCATAGAAATATTTAAAAACATAATACTTTTACATAACAATGTCTGAGATGTACCAAATTCCTGGCTCACTAAAAAGAATACCTGCTTCATCTTTCCATGAAGAGGTATTATGGGTAGCTTTTTCAGAGAAGAAATAAGAGGAAGAACAACTCCCCAGTAATCAACACATGCACAAGTCATAAAATAACTGCAAGAATAATGAGATTGACGATTGTAATTAGTGCAACTCTCTTTCCTTGTATGTAAAGATGTAGATAAAAACAAAAACCATTAAAAAAATGAATACATTATCACTTTTTTAGACTTGTTCTTAATTAGGAGATCGACAAGCTGTGATGGTTTCTGGTCTGCTTCACACTCAAGATACTACACACATAAACAGACATCAAACAATGGGGTTATAGAGTGTGTGGTGAAAATATAGCACTCGGTACAAAAAGAGGAGTTAACCCATCGCTATTCACTACTACTCAACTGCATCCTCCACTATTTTATTGGACTCTACTATGAAATGTGGACACAATATACCCCTTGTACATATTTGGTTCTAAATGAGAATGGTATTTTTGTCCGTTCAGTAAAATTAGACCCAATTTCAGACTCGATTATGCCCTCACCCTCGTAATTTGGACCTAATAACCCTAATTTATCCATGAGCATACGAAAAATATATTTCTTTAATTAGAAAAAAATATGAATGAAGAACTACAACCCACATTGGATTCTTGAGGACCAAATTGATTATTAGTGTATGGTCGATGGCCCATTAACCCCATTTCAAGTATTAGCTCTAAAAAGGAATATAGATAGTTAATATACCTCTAACTGAAGGCCTAGAGGTGTTTTTGAAGAGGCAGGTTGACTAGAGGATGTAGGACCATTTGACAATTTTGCTTCAACCTTGACTGCAACCCTTTGCGGGTTCCTTAATCCTGCCTTTGATAACTCTTCAACTGCCTCAGTTTGAGTAGCTGAAAATAGACCGGTTCGGCGTAGTTTTGGCAAGCGAGATATAATGTAGTTTATTTGCTTTTGGAATCCCATGTCTAGTAGCCTGTCAGCTTCATCTAAAATTAAAACCTGGACAAACAGCAAAATTTATGGTTCGCACTGATCTCTTAGTCATTGTTAGGTTTAGGAAAAATAGGAGAAGAAGAATACAACAACAACCCAGTAGAATCTCGCAATAGCAGGGTCTGGGGAGGTATGTGTACGCAGACCTTACCCCTACTAAAAGTAGAGAGGTTGTTTCCAAGAGACGCCCCGCTCAAGCAACACAAAGAACAACTAGTACAACAAAAGCACAATATAACAAAAGTCCAAGAAGCAAACAAAAATGGAAGAAAAGCGTGAACCAATGGAGAAGAAGAATAGAGGAGACAAAGAATGTTTTGCATTCATAGTGCATCAAGGACAGCAAACTGTAGGAAAAACATACACTTGTTGAAAAGGGTATAGAGGAGACAAGATATAAGTCGCTTTGTAACTCTCTTGGCCTCTGCCGGAGCATAAATTCAAGTTTTCCCCCATCCATAAAGAAAAGAATAGAGAAGGAAGGAAACATGTCTACCTCTTTCAATAATTTTCCAACTAAATCTTTTTTGCTGAATACTACGAATACCACAACAGTACAACATCTACGAGTCTTAGACTTGAAATCGTGGTGAATATATGCATATGATCCAATATCCTTAGTTAAATAGCATGGCGTGTAAACCCCAAAACCTTCAATATTCACAAAGCAGAATTTGCTAGGGTGCCATTAGATAAAACATACCTCAAAATTCCGAAAGTCTAACAAGTCCATACGTTCCATTATGTCATAAAGTCTGCCTGGTGTGCCAATCAACAAATTCGCCCCTTCCTCTTCAATTTTATTCAAATCCATTTTCACGTCCACTCCTCCAACAAGAAGCACTGGCTTAACATTGGGCAGGGTTGAAATGAAAGGTTGAGCAACATGAAATATCTGTGATGATAACTCCCTAGTTGGTGATATAATCATGCCCATTATCTGCAAGAACCCGAATAGTGAGATTTTGGATGAGTAGCGCATGCTCGCGTTTTATACAGCTACCACTTTGCATGATCATTATTCAAGATAATTTAGACTTTGCACTCTATTTAGCTGATACTCCTTGGAAATCATTTTCAGGGGAAATTAAACGGCAATACTTTAGGCAGTTTATCAATAATTTATTGCAAAATTTTTGGAGTTTATCATAATTTTCATCAAACAATTGCAAAAATTTGTATATTTTCATCAAATAGTTACAAAAGTATGGTGATTTTCATCAATTCTGCATTGCATTCAAAATTCAAACGAGCACACCTTCATTAGCAACCCTCGAGTTAACAATTTGGTCAAATTAGTCCTTGTAACTAAGAAATGTGAATCAAATCAGTTCATTATGCAAAATTTATCTTTCTAAAATTCTAAGGTAACAAGTTAACTGACACAACAACTAATACACCTGGTCATTGCTCTTGCTTCAATTAACGTGATATCTAGGAAATTTAGGAGATAATTCAGTTCAAAGGACTAACTTGATTCACATTGTTTATATATAGAGACTAATTTGAATCAAATGAACTTACACGGCCCAAATTGAGTGGTGAATACACTTGGAGGGACAAATGAATATTAAACTAAAAATTACTCGAAATAAATGCTGGACCTGGTGAAATTTAGGAGGGGGAGATCGTCGTATAATCTCGACCACAGGGACGACAAAAGCTAGTGTTTTCCCGGACCCGGTGGCGGCGTCGACGGCGACATCCTTGTGGTCGCAGAGCAGAGGTATGGTGGCCGCTTGAACCGGCGTGCAGAACTCGAATCCTCCATTATTCAATGCCTCGAGAACGGCTTCCGATAGCGGCGTCTTAAGCTTAAGGTCGGAGAATCGAGTAGATGTTAGTGCTTGGTTCGTCGGCTCCATAGTTGGCCGTCGGCGCGAGCTTGTGTTCAAGGGTAGTTAATTGTCTAAATACCACAAAAAAAAATTCAGAGTATTTATTTAATTTTAATTTTTTTAGTCAAAATTAATAAATTATGATTGCTAACTAAATAAAAACATATTCCGCATTATACATTGATACAAAATAATTTTTTAAAATTCATCTTGTACAAATTAATATATCATATATATATATATATATATATATATATATATATATGTATATGTATATATATATATATATATTATTTAATTAGATATCAAAAATATATTTTGTTTTACTGCACAAGGTAAATACTGGAAAATAATTTCAGACGGAGTAGAAGATATGTCATTTACTGTTCAAAAAAATGGTCTCTAATGCATCTTCTAAAAAATACTCCCTCCGTCCCACAAAAAAATCTCATTTTGATGTATTTTTGGTTAAACAGTTACACGCTTTGACAATAAATTAAATATAATCTAAATAAAGAAATGCTAACAAAATTTGAGATATCAAAACTAGATCCTAAAATGAATCCAATTATATTAAATTTATTTTATAATTCAATATACTTTTTTCACAATTTGTAGTCAAAGCGTGTAAATATTTAACTAAATACTATTCAAAATGGAAACTTTTTTGCGGGACGGAGGGAATAGTTTATTATCATATTCTCAGCATCTAATATATAGGAGCTACAACAAGAAGAGAAAAAGCACATTTCCTTCTATCCACAACAATCCAAGCCCCTAATTGTAACTTTCTTCTTCTTTAGTGACAACAATTTGCTCTTTTAAACTTGATGACCTTTGATGTCGCATCTTTGCCCTTTTGTGTCGATTGAGTCAATGGTGTAAATTACCTAACCGGGTAAACTCTACTAGACCGGGTCTAGAATCGTTCACTTCATTCGATAAAGTAAGGAGGTAAAAACACGCAAAATGACCGGTAAGGCTGTAGGTGGAAACACTTGTAGCCTAATTGATAATAATATGAGAGAATGCACGGGTGCTTTTACAAGGGAGTTTAGAGATAATGATTTCGGACCCCCTTCTTCGAGGGTTACAACTGGTATATATACTGAGCTGCAGGGGACAAAACGATGTGCACTCACGTGGGTGCACGTTCTCGGATGGTGAGAGGTGATGGCCTTCGTCCTTTTGCTGCTTCGTCACTTAGCGAGGAAGATTACTTCCCTTGTCGCGTACTGGCTTGGACAGATTCCTTCAGCATCTCATTTGATCCTCCAGCGATGTGGGTCGCTACAATCCAAACCACTCTAGATTCGAAGTATTTATCAAAATGCCCTGTAAATGTTTCGTATTTGGTGGACTACCCTGTAAAGGTGAATTGACGGAAATGTCCAGGCGTGTATGACCGACGCGCTTCTAAGAAAATGAAAAGTTATTCCATTTAACAAAGCTTAAACGGCGTTTCAACTTTAAATTTAAATAAAAAATCCGAGAATGGGCGAAACGACGTCGGAAGAGACTATACAAAAACCCTCCATAAACATCTTCCTTCATCGTGCGACCATTGAGTTTTCGATCTGTGTGTGCTCTATCCCCCCTCTTCGACACCTGCAAAACTTGATCGAAACCCTACACATCCAAAGTCATCGGTCTCAGAAAACCTTGAATTTCTACAATGAGGACGAAGAATGCTTCTGTGTCTTCCTCCAAGAATGGAAACGATGAGTATCATGCGGAAGAGAGGATGAAAGAGCACAGAGGTAGCCCAAAGCCCACACAAGGAACACTCGAGGTCAGAAACTTGATTTTAAATGAATTATTCTCTCTCCAAATAACCAATGGACAATGGTTTATGAATTTTTAGTCTGATCGACTTCATTGATCGACTAAAATAAGTGTCGACCTCTTGGTCGCACTAATTGCATATCTTTCCATATGAAATTCGTTGACATAATATGCCGTTATATAGGTTCCGGCGATAAAGACGAAGGTAAATTCAAAGGACTTTCCACATATGAAGCTGACTGTGAAGTCTTCACTGCAAGACTTTCAAAAATTGATGAAAGAAAAGTTGTGCGATCATATGGAAATCCTAGAAGTGTTTAGGAGAGATTCTCCTTTTGGTGCTTTCCTTGATGTCCAACTTGTTCCCCCTCCAGCCATGTTATGGCAGTTGATGGTTAGGGAGGCTAATGTGAAAGGAGCAAAAGGTTCTGAAATGTGGTTTGTAGTAAATGGAGTTCCCATTAGATACTCTCTAATGGAATTTTCCTTGATTACTAGACTCAAATGTTCACAACTAGCTCCCGGATACGAAGAGCAGTATGATAAGGATTCACTGCATGTTTTCGTTAAAGAAAACTGGTCAAAGGGTGTGGTATGTTACACTTCAGTTGTCGAGAGGTTCTCAAAATTGTGCCAGCTACTTGACGATGAAGGGAAGAAAGAGTATGCACTCCAGTGGATAGTGAAGGTGGCGACATTGATGTTTGTTGTTCTCGTTTTAATTGGTCATGCTAAGAAAGATGCCCCAGTTCCGAAATGGATCCTTGCCACTGTTGCAAACTCTGATGATTCCATGTCTTTCCCATGGGGGACATGGGCATTCCTGGAGTCCCTCCGTATCCAATCTTTGGGGAAGGACTTAGTTTCAGAAAAAAAGAAGCTTGTCAAAGGCGGGAAAACATCAAACACCCTCCGATACAATGGCTTTGTCCTCCCCTCATCCGTGAGTAAATTAATTTAAATTGATACTAAAAGTTCCTATAAGGAGATGGCTAAATTGGGCTTCATTTATTGCTGAATGTAGTTTCTCCTATTTGAGTGCATTAATGATTTTGGAGAGACATTTGGAGTGAAGATGGAGCAAACAAATCAAGCACTTCCGAGAATGTGTCTCTGGAAAAATAATATTTCAAAAAAGTCGTCGCACGAAGCCATAATCAATGCACTAAACGCTGCCAAGGTAAGGTCTAAAGTTTAAAGAGCAAGGTCGACTTAAGGTGAAAATCGACTTAATGATCTTTAAAGTGAAGGTCGACTTAAGATGTCTTTAATGTGAAGGTCGACTTCATGATCTACACTCATTTTTTAAATATGCTCTTTCTTTTGTAGAGTGTTAGGAGCATTCTTCTTCCAGAAGGAAGTGAAATACGTGCCCCTTGGATCACCAGTCTGACCTCCTTGCCTTATGTTTACAATCCAACTCTTGGAGAATTCGTAAGGGGAATCCAAGGTGGTGACAAGCATATTCAATTATGCATGAAAAAACAACTTCTGGCCCAAGCAAGTGAAGATGAAGTTCCTATAGGAAGGAATTCATCTAGAGATGAAGTTCACTCTTCAAGTGAGGGGTCAGAAGTCCCCTCCAAAAAGTATGTCCTTAGGAGGAGAAAAGTATCAAAGCCGTGCACCCCACATGAAAAGGCTGAGCACAGACCTATGTTGGAAACACAGAGCCCTCTGTTGGAAAGGACAACCAATATCAAGGCTTCATCTTTAAGTGGAAATTCTAGTCAAATCTTGCCTAATTCACTGAAAGATTACATTGATGGTAAATTTTCTAAGCTTCAAAAGACGCTATGTCTGGAGGTTGAAAATTTCTTGGAAAGAAAATTTCAGACACTAGAAAAAAGAATTCTCTTAACCTTACTTGCATCCTCAAAGGGAGGGACTGACGAAGCGAAGGAATACGATGGGAAGAAAGAAGAGCCGGTGGAAGTGAATGAGGTCGACCACTCTATACATGAAGGGGTGGACCATAATGAAGAGGATGAAATAAAAGATGGGAAGGAAGATGAGAAGGTCGACCCCCCTTGTTTTGAATGGGTGGACCATAATGAAGATGCTATTAAAGATGGGNTTCAAAATTTGCAACCTTCGGTGCTTAGCGGATTCAGTGAACTTGACATTGTCCAATTGAGAACTTCATACGCATATGCAATATGTAGAGAGAACTTTTAATACTCGTAAATATAAATCTTGTGCTATTGTATTTAAATGTGTCTTTGTGTCAAAACTAACCCATTAAACATTGAAAATTTGAGGCCACATACTATAATAGTCAACCTCTATCATATTCAAGCTCTTTCACAATCATACACAAAGGTTGACCTTAATTTGAAGAGAATCACTTTAACGTTTAAAATTTAAGGCAACATTCACGACAAGTCGACCAACCATAGTACACAAGTAGTCGATTATATTCATAAACGAGAAGTCGACCTACCATATTCATGAAAGAGTCAACCTCTACCATTTTGACATAAAACTTGGATAGAAAAATCAAAGTCCGTTACATAATGAAAAAGAAGAATATGAATCTCCTCCAGATTATAGGCCTCAACTATTCTGGCCCAGCCCTCCCCAAAAAAGATGTTTCCTTGCTCACATAGTTCAATTTTCACTTCAACAAGGTCTGCGGAAAGAGGGCCCCAAATCCTGAAAAGATTGAGTTAATTAGACATAACATAATTTAAAAGTAAAAGAAATACAAGAAAATGAATGAAATCTCAAACCAATCTTTCTCTGAAACCGAGATCACCGGAGAGGATAACACAAAAACTTGTCATTTTGCAGATCTTTACAAATGGATAGGGATGAAAGCATGAAACCCTAGCCGGTGATTCTCATATTTATAGTTTCAAGCCCATGAATGAAACGACGCCGTCGACAGATAAACATAGGCGTCGTTTCCTAATTAGTATTTAATATAATACTAAACGATACCAAATATAAAACGACGCCGTAAAGTATGAAAACAATGCTTATAAATGTCGAAATTAATTTTGTCGACATTATAATAGGTCAACATTTAATAGGTCCTCATAATTACAATTCGCATGCATTAATTACAAAGCTGCACATTTCCCAAAACCTTGACGGAAATATCAACGTTTCCCAAAACGTCAACGGATAAACATATGCGTCGTTTCCTAATTATGTACAGTATTTAACTCGTTTTGTAATTTAAAAACTGAGGAAAGTAAACGACGCATCGTTTCCTAATTACGTATTTAACTCGTTGTGTAATTTAAAAATACTAACGGAAATGGAATATTAAATTAATATTTGTTTAAAATAATACTAACCGATACAAAATATTAATGAAAACAATGCTTATTAATATGTCAAAATTAATAATGTCGATATTGTAATAGGTCGACATTTAATAGGTCGACATAATTAAAATTCGCATGCATTAATTTCAAGGCTGCACAATTCCCAAAACCTTGACAAAAATATCAACGTATCTTCGGTCTATATAAAAAATGTCGATATTATAATATAAAACGACGAAGGAAACGTTGCTGTATAGTAGGTTGACCACATATGTCGACATTGTAGTACGTCGATGAATATAAAAAAATCACATTCAACAATAACATTTAAATTTTGTACAAGGACCATTATCAGCATTAACTTTAATAATATATTATTAAAAACAATACTAATAATAAGAATAATAATAGTAATAATAGGGAGAAATATTGTCGACATTAGAACAGGTCGACATTTAAAATGTCGAAATTATATTTAAATATAGAGAAAATTTTTAAAAATCCTAAATATAAATCTTGTGCTATTATAATTAAATGTGTCTATTGTTAAATCTAACGCATTAAGCATTGAGAATTTAAGGCCACATTTTTAAATTCGACCTACCTCATTAATGCAAGAGGCTATCTCTTCCATTTCTATGTCATATTCAGGCTCAGTTGTGGACCTTTTTCCAAGAATGAAGTTAAAAATTAGATCTTTTCTCATGGAGTATCAAAATATCATAAAGGATGGATGAGCAGGAGGAAAAAGTTCATTAAAATAAAAATAAAAGGGAGTACATATTATTCTTCGGTGGAAATATTAGTATTCCACCGCACGCCCATTTTGACCAAAAACTTTGATTGAAAAATCAAAGTTCGTTACATAATGAAAATGAAGAATATGAATCTCCTCCAGATTATAGGCCTCAACTATTCTGGCCCAGCCCTCCCCAAAAAAGAGGTTTCCTTGCTCACATACTTCAAATTTCACTTCAACAAGGTCTGCGGAAAGAGGGTCCCAAATCCTGATGACATCGCCATCAGCGTATTCAGGACCACCGGCAATCTTATTAAAGTAATCTGGTCTGAATCAGTAAAAGATTGAATTAATTAGACATAACATAATTTAAAAGTAAAAGAAACACAAGAAAATGAATGAAATCTCAAACCAATCTTTCTCTGAAACCGAGATCATCGGAGAGGATAACACAAAAACTCGTCATTTTGCAGATCTTTACAAATGGATAGGGATGAAAGTATGAAACTCTAGCTGGTGATTCCCATATTTATAGTATCAAGCCCATAAATGAAACGACGTTGTCGACGGATAAACATAGGCGTCGTTTCCTAATTACGTACAGTATTTAACTCGTTTTGTAAATTGTAAACTGAGAAAAGTTTAAATCGACGCATCGATTCCTAATTACGTATTTAACTCATTCTGTAATTTAAAAAATACTAACGGATATGGAATATTAAATTAGTATTTGTTTAAAATAATACTTACCGATACCAAATATATGTCGACATTGTAATAGGTCTACATTTAATAGGTCGACATAATTTAAATTCGCATTCTTTACTTACAAAGCAGCACAATTCCCAAAACCTTGACGGAAATATCAACGATGCTTCGGCCTATATAAAAAATGTCGACATTATAATATGAAACGTTGTTATATAGTAGGTTGACCACATACGTCGACATTCAAGTAGGTCGACATAATAATTTAATAAGTACCCCCGGTTTACTTTATGTTTACTTTTTCTTTTCCTATTCACATGCAGCATAAAGTTAAAAATCGCACATTTCTCAAACTTTGACAGTTTGACCAAGTTCACGGGATGTTTATGCTGGCTGAGAGTGAAGCACGCTTATATATGCAGAAATACTCCGTATTGAAATGTAAATCACCCGCATCTCAAACAATTTTCGATATGGAAAACAAAGCAAATGATGTCCCCAAAAACATTGAGAAAAAAATTCAGTCATTGAAGGAGAGATTGAAGGATATGGAGAAAAAGCTGGGGGTACCGGAGACAGAAGAAATAGAACTCCAAAACGGGTCTCAAAATTGGATGGAAATCATACAGAATTTAGAAGCGAGGGTGGAAGCTTTGGCAAAAATCCTAGGATTATCAGTGAGTGACCTTGATTCTGGATCTTCCTCTGATATGAGTGACGAAGAGTGATGAGGAATGGTTTGAATTAAGATCAGAATAAATTTCCCCCTTTGTCAACTTTTAAAACTTTTTTATCCGGATATTGTAAGAACTATTGTAATGTTGTATTATTAAGTGATGAAATTTAACATTCGACGAGTCTTGTTGTACTCTGTATCAAATTGTTTAACAATCAACGTGAATATATGAAAACAACCTTGATTCCAATATACTAAAGATGATCATATAAATGAATTAAAGAAACAGAACAGAAATTAACTTCGTTGTACATTGTTTAACATTCGGCAACAATAAGTAAAACAACAAAAGCACAAATGGAACTCGTTATGTGTGTCCATCACAAAATGTAGACTTCTATTCACCGTAGTGTGAATGTGCATATTCTTTGATTCGCCACTTGAGCTAAAGCCTCTTCCATGGTAGGTCTGACTGATTGTGGCTATTGCGATTAGTTTAGTTGCGGACACATCTTCTTCGGTCATGGGTAGTCAGAGGTCATCTAGTGGCTCGGGTGTCTGACTGGTTGTGGCTATTGCAGTTAGTTTAATTGCGGACACGTCTCCTTCGGTCATGGGGTAGTCAATTGTCATCGAGAGGCTCGGGTGTCTGACTGGTTGTGGCTATTGCGGTTAGTTTAGTTGCGGACACCTCTTATTCGGTCATGGGTAGTCAGAGGTCATCTAGTGGCTCGGGTGTCTGACCGGTTGTGGGTATTGTGGTTAGTTTAGTTGCGGACACGTCTTCTTCGGTCATGGGGTAGTCAGTTGTCATCGAGAGGCTTGGGTGTCCGACTGATTGTGGCTATTGCGATTAGTTTAGTTGCGGACACGTCTTCTTCGGTCATGGGTAGTCAGAGGTCATCTAGTGGCTCGGGTGTCTGACTGGTTGTGGCTATTGCAGTTAGTTTAATTGCGGACATGTTTCCTTCGGTCATGGGGTAGTCAGTTGTCATCGAGAGGCTCGGGTGTCTGACTGGTTGTGGCTATTGCGGTTAGTTTAGTTGCGGACAC